TACTACCGGTTCTGTGGGTGTGGCTTGGTGGGCCTGGTAGGGGAAAGTTCCTGCAAAATCCCCATTTCCTCCTAATCAGCTCGGACTCCGGAGGCAGAGAATAGATGGGGGCGTGGCCAGCCAGAGGTGGCATTTACCAATTCTCCGAACTACTCCAACTTTCTGCTACCGGTTCCCCAGAACTGGTCAGAACCTGCTGAATAACACCTCTGGATCACGTGACCCAGAACACTGCAACCGTCATAAATATGAGTCAGTTGCCAAGTTCCCAAATTTTGATCATGTGAACTTGGGGATGCTACAATAGTTGTGTTAAAAACCGTCATGTCACCTTTTTCAGTGCCATTGTAAGTTTAAACGGTCACTAGATGAATGACCAGAGGCCATTTTATGAGTATCACCTTGCCTAACGAGCAGATTTACAACCATCATGACTTAAGATAGTCAGGCTCAGTGGTGAAATTCAAATTCTTTTACTACCGGTTCTGTGGGTGTGGCTGGGCGGGCATGGCAGGGGAAGGATACTGCAAAATCTCCATTCCCTCACCACTCTGGGGCCAGCCAGAGATGACATTTCCCGGTTCTCCGAACTACTCAAAATTTCAGCTACTGGTTCTCCAGAACCTGTCAGAACCTGCTGGATTTCACCCCTGGTCAGGTTCCATTATGGTTGTAAGTCGAGGACTTACCTGCCCTAAACTATTCCCAACTGGGAAAACGAATCATTGGGATCCCTGTACTGAATTCTGGAGGGCGTGATAATCAGAACTGATTCCTTTTCCTTCCCCAAAATTAATCACACAGACCTCGAAATCCAGAAACGTAAAAGTGTTTATTTTTGAAAATATTTACACCATATTTCAACATCAACATAAAAATTCTTGGAGAGCCTAACTAGATCATTCCAGGGTAACACAACTTTTGGAACCAAGTTGCCGTTCATCGTTTCCTTCATTTTGAATAATTTTTTTAGTACAAAGTTTCCCTTTATAAAACGAAACTGTAATTTTTGAGGCCGGGGCTCAAAAACCAGAGCAATGTTACAAGGCCACATATCCATCCCCTCCCATTTTAAATCTCACCTCAAACTAGTTGAGTGTTTTCAAACGAGGCAACTTAAAGATGTGTGGACTTCATTTCCCAGAATTCCCCAGCCAGATTCCAACTCCCAGAATCCCCCAGTCTGCATGTTATGGACTTCCTCTTCCCCAATCAGCCATGGGAAGGGGAAATGAATTCTGGGAATTGAAGTCCCTTCATCTTAAAGTGCTGAAGTTTGAGAAATATCAACAACTATGCATCTTCTGCTTTTGAATAAATCTTTAGTTGAAAAGGGGGCAATCAGATTCCTTTTGAATTTTGGCTATTAAATACGAACATAGTTTATTCGGACAAATTTGCAGTGTAGCTTAAAAAAAAAACTGTTTCCAAAGGTGGAAATTGATGTCCTTATAAGTCACACAGACTGAAGCTCAACTATGATTTTGCCCACACAGAGTCAAGGAATATTGAAAAAGCAGATGTTTTTTAGAAATCTACCTTTCTATTAAGACTGCTAATATTTCCTAAAAATAGAGTCACATGCATAGGAAAGGAGGGGGTCATAAAAGTCAAAATGGCTGACAGCTAGAGCTTATAATAAACAGCTCTAAACATGGCAACTTTAAGTCTTGTGGACTTCAGTTCCCAGAATTCCTCATGGCTGACTGAGGAATTCTGGGAGTTGAAGTCCACAAGTCTTAAAAGTTGCCAAGTGTGGAGATCCCTGGCTTATTATACCATGTGGTTGCAGCCTCTTTTTGGCGCCTACAGAAAATGCTTTTTAAGCCACCTGACCAGGGGTCGGATTCAGCTGGTTTGGACCAGTTCAGGCAAACTGGTAGTTATGGTGAACAGTTGGCCCCACCCCTTAATTTCCTGTCCTATATTTCCCTGTTGTTGTTTTTTTTAGCTCAGCTGATTTGCGTGGCACAGATTGTTGTGCGTCAGCTGTTTTACTCAGTGGCACTGACACAGAAGATACGTTTCTAAGTTTAAAACGGGCAGTTTTTGAATGTTAGGTGCACACGTGTGGAAAGCATGCAAGTTATATGCGAAGCGTGCACTCACCGAACCGTTTGTTAAAAACGGTTGCATCCCACCAATGCACCTGACCCAATTTTCTCTTTGGCTGATTTCAAATAATGTCACAACCCTACAAAAAAAAATATGTGTATTTTTTTTTACACAAGCGTCTCAGCAAAACACTCTTAACACTAAATTCCCTGTTTACAAACAAGAGAATTGCAAACTGATGCATGAACTTTCAAAATAGGTCTATCTAACCAAAACAAGGGCTAATCATGTCCGCTACAGTAACTCAAAAACACTTTTATTATACAAAAAAGGTGGCAGGAGTGTAACTCTTAAGCAACAACAAAACAAACCAACAATCACAGCAATCTCAGCAGCATTCATGTGTGTTTGCAAGGGTTTTTTTTTTTTGCAAGCACCTGAAGGCAGGAAAAAGAAGCAATGGATGGAAACTAATCAAGGGGAGAAGTAACCTGGAACTAAGGAGAAATGACCTGGCAGTTAGAACAATTAATCAGTGGAACAACTTGCCTCCAGAAGTTTGTGGGAGCTCCAACACTGGAGGTTTTCAAGAAGAGATTGACCACTTATCTAAAATTGTATAGGATCTCCTGCTTGAACAGGGGGTTGGACTAGAAGATCTCCAAGTTCCCTTCCAATTCTCTTCTTCTGTTATTCTGCATTCCATTAGAAGTTAAAACTGGATTCAGCATAGATTTAACTAAACTTAACCAGTTATAGAAACCAAGCCAGAGAGAGTTCAGTTAGTATTCCAGTAACACATCACCAGGGAAATCAAGAGGTACAGGTAGTCTTTAACTTATGACCAAAATTGGGGCTGAAACCTGTCGCTAAACAAGATGGTTGTTAAGTGAGTCATGTCCAATTTTACAACCCCACCCATCCCCGCTGCAGTTGTTAAGTAAATGTGATGGTTGTAAATGTAAGAACTGATTGTAAATAACATTTTGTAACTAAACAAGTGATCGTAAGTTGAGGATTACCTGTAGAGTGGGAAACCATAGCAAGCTACTTCAGTTCTATTGCCAAGAATATTGCAAAAACTCCCCTCTAGAATATATATATATATGTATATTTAATTCAACATTATGCAAAGCCATTGTGTAATCTTTCTCGCTTTTCTATTAGCAGGCTGTTATGAACCACCCAACACAAACCACAGTTTAGCAAAGTCTATAAATCTAATCTCTGGTGCTCACTAAAAAAAAAAAAAGGCTGTTCTTTTATCATCCTAAAAATGACAAATTTAATCCCCTGTCATCTTTTTCTTCTTCTTTTACTTTTGAGTAAACATATATTGGAGCCTTCTGAAGAATAGATTCCCCAGCTCTGTGAAACTAGAGACACAGATTCTTTATTCATTAAAAAAACGGAATAAAATATACGTATTTATCTGTTCCTTTGGGCCCAAGATTGGCAGATTCTGCATGCTAAAAATCTGCATTTAGTCCAGGCGAATAAAAGCACAAAGCCACCAAGATATGTCAAATTCAGGAGGAGAACAAAAAAATTCCTGAAAAATATGGAAGTCACAAATTGGAGAGACAGTTTGATGGACTGGTTAAAGGCTAGAAACTATAAGACAGTGAGTTTTAGTTCTGCTTTATGCGGAGAGCCATCTGGGTGAGCTTGAGCCAGTCACTCTCTCAGCCCTAGGAAGGAGACAATGGCAAACCACTTCTGTAAAATTTTGCTAAGAAAACTGCAGGGCAGTCTCTGCGAATCACCTTATGTGTATGAGTCTTTTTTTGGGGGGTGGGTGGGTGTAAAAATGGACTCAACAAAATGATTAAACAGAAGGGAGAAAAATCTATATCATAAATATAATATAAATAAATATTGTTTTATTAGTTCCTTTTGAAAGGTGTTGGGGGGGGAAAGGGAAAAGTTGAGGTGAGGTTTGGTGAAGTGGTTACCGCTGGCCTAGAAATTGGAAGGTTGCGAATTCCAGTTCTACCCTAGGCGCAAAACCAGCCAGGTGACTTTGGACCAACCAGCAGGAGACATTTGAGTTCTAGTCCCGCCTTAGGCTCGAAAGCTGGCTGGGTGCCACGCCCTCCCTCTCTCTCTCAGCTCAGCCCATCTCACGGAGTTGTTGTAGGGAAAATCAGAGGAAAGGATGTTAGGGTGACTTGAGATGCACAACAAAGACAGGATATAAATTGGGAAAAAAAATGGTGGTTTTTAAAAAGAGGCAGGGCTTCACGATTGCATTTTTCTAGCTATCATCTTGACTTTTTGATACCAGCTACACATTTTCTCCAAGTAGTGTCTCACTTGGTCATTCTTTCCAGCCGAAGAATTAGGATTCTGGATGACAAGGGAAGATTTCTCGCGGATATTCCTTTCCAATTTTGCATCTGCCCACATTAAAAAAACAAACTGCAGTTCCTCTGAAAAGAAGAGCATCATGTTTTTTTTTTTTCCTGGAGAAATAAACCCGTTTCTTTTTTGGGAATTAAAAATGGGACGGAAATATAGGTTGAAAAGGGAGGGGAGAAAACCACAAGGGGAAATAGCTCTCACCAGACCAGTGATTCTCAACCTTGGAAACTTTTTAAGACATGTGGACTTCAATTCCCAGAATTCCCCAGCCAGTTTGAGTGGACTTCAAATCCCAGAATTCCCCAGCCAGTGAGTAAAGTTCAGTTCCCAGAATTCCCCAGCCAGCCTGGATGGACCAGCTCCCAGAATTCCCCAGCCAGCTTGGGTGGACTTCAGCTCCCAGAGTTCTCCAACAGGGATTGGTGGACTTCGAATCCCAGAACACCCCAGCCAGCTTGAGTGAACTTCCTCTCCTACACCGGCTGGGGAATTCTGGGAGTTGAAGTCCACTTGTCTTAAAGCAACCAAGGTTGGGGGGGAAAAAAAACTGTTCCAGGTAGATCAAGGAGCCTTGGGCTTGTTCACACAGCTGCAGTTTGTTTTATACTATGAAAGCTAATCCTCGTTGGAGAGGTGGGCATGGACATGGCACGGGCCACGCGCACCCTGAGAGAATGGTGGTCCTGCCAACGATGCCACCTTTTTCGAACTGCAGAACGCACCTGGAAGAGAAAATAAGAGAGTAACCTGGTTAGTGGTCCTATTATGGGGTAGATCCAGAGATGCTTCTCTGACAATAAATCATTTTATTCACCTTAATAAAAAAGGGCGAATGCTCCAATATCCATTCCCCTCAGTTTCCTCTCTTCATATGTCAATTCAGGTTTGCCAATATTTTTTTTAAAAAACAAGGCCCGCTAAGATTTCTATATGTTCAGGTATCCTTGCGTTATTTACGACCCAAAATTTGAACCCAAAATTTCTATTTGCTAAGCAAGACAGAAATTGTGTGAAGTGAGTTGTGCCCCATTTTACGACCTTCCTCGCCGCAGTTGTTAAGTGAATCGCTGCCGTTGTTAAGTCAGTAACATGGTTGTTAAATGAATCGGGCTTCCCCGTTTGGCCTTTGCTGGTTAGAAGGGGATCAAAAAAAGGGGATCACGTGATCCCGGGACGCTGCAACCATCATAAATATGAGTCAGTTGCCAAGTGTCTGAATGTTGATCATGTAACCAAGGGGATGCTGAAATGGTCGTAAGTGTGAAAAACGGTCATAAGTCACTTTTCTCAGTGCTGCTGAAACTTTAAACACCCCCTAAACGAAGGGTTATAAGTTGAGGACTATCTGTACATGCATGCATCTTGTACTGAATTTTCCTCCAAATCTTGAGGGATCTGAGGAGATTCCAAGATGGGATCCTGCTGCGTCCCATTTCAAGAGGACCCCCCCCTCTCTCAATGGCCATTTGTATCATCCTCAAATTTATGACTTTCACACCAAATCTGGGCCACCTTTTGAAACAGGAGTGTCAAACTTGGTTTCATTGAGGGCCGTATCAGGGTTGTGTTTGACCTTGGGGGCTGGGTGGGCATGGCCAGTGAGGTGACACTTATGTCAGGGGTGCCAGTAGCGGCCCTAATGCTCTGCCAGTAAAAACTAACCCCAACCCAAGCTCCATTTTTGCTGGCAGAGGGTTGCAGGAGGCCGTCGCGGCCAAAAACGGAGCTCAGGAGGGCCACACGCGGTCCTCCCGAGCTCCGTTTTCGCCGGCAGAGGCACCACGGGCCGGTCCTTCGCTGTTTCCAGGGTGGCCCCACAGGTCAGATCTAGGCACCCCATAGGTTGGATGTGACCTGTGGGCCTTGTGTTTGACACCCCTGCTTTAAAGCAAGTGTGAACAATGGATCTGGAATTTATCCTTTATCAGATACTCCGCATTACTGACTGCTTCCTGAAGCTAACAGGACTGCTAGTGGAAAATACCGTATTTTTCAGAGTATAAGACACTCCGGAGTGGAGGAAAACAAGGAAAAGAAATTCTGCCTCTGCCTACCAGCATCCATCAGTATTCATCTGGCTAGCATCCTTGCAGCAAACAGCAAACAGCCTGGTCAGCTTCAGCGCCTTATTGCAGCCTGATTCAGCACAAGCAGCTGATTGGCTGTTGGATTGGCCTCTCGAATACTGCCAATCAGCTGTTCCAGGCGGCGGGGATCGCCAAAGCCCATCACTGCCTCTGCACGTCACATTTTCAGCCTCTGCGCGTCACGTGTTTGGCCTGTTCCAGGCTGCCGGGATTACCACAGCACATCGTCGCCTCCGTGCATCGCATTTTTGGCCTCTGCATACCCCATATTTGGCCTCTGTGTGTCAGGTTTTCAGCTCGTTCCAGGCGGTGAGGATTCCCGTGGACGCCGATCTCCGCCAACTGGAACTGGCTGTAAACATGACGTGGAGATGCCAAAAATGGGGCGTGTGGAAGCCAAAACGTAAGGCATGGAGGTGACAATTGACAGCGATGTGCTGTGGCAATCCCCACAGCCTGGAACAGGTCAAAACATGATGCACGAAGGCTGAAAACACAATGTACAGAGGTGCCGATCGGCGGCGATGTGCTGTGGTGATCCCTGCAGCCTGGAACATGCGGAGGCCGAAAATATGACACACTGAGGACAAAAATGAGATGCGCAGAGGCCAAAAACAGCTGGTGGGTGGGGCCCGGTGAATGGGCGGGGCTTCAGCAACATTCACTGTGTAAGATGCACAGACATTTTCACCCACTTTTTAGGGAGGAGGAAAGTGCGTCTTATACTCTGAAAAATATGGTAATTAATCCCCCCCAAAATGATGGAGTTACCAGAGAATTACTGGTAGTCCTTGTCTTACAACCGTTCATTTCGACACCATTCATTCTATTACGGAACTGGAAAAAGTGTGATTCACACTGACAACCATTGCAGCGTCCCCATGGTCACGTGATCAAAATTAGAATGCTTGACAACTGGCATGTACTTATGACAGTTGCAGTGTTCCGGGATCACGTGATCCTCTTTTGTGACTTTCTGACAAGCAAAGTGAACGGGGAAGCCTTAACAACTTAACAACCGTGTTACCAACAACAATTGCAGTGAGTCATTTGGCAAGAAAGGTTATAAAATGTGGCAAAACCTATTAACAATTACCTTGCTTAGCAGCAGAAATTTGACCAATATTGGTCAAGGACTACCTGCAATTCTTTTAATCAGAGAAAATAATATACCTAATTTTGTTCCTAGAAACCACTTCTAGATTTTAGCCTGAAGATAGAAGAAAATGAAATCTCAAAATTAGGTTTTCTGATCTACTTTGTGGTTATAGCAATATTTACTGGTACATACTAGTATTGACTAAGTATGAAAAAGTAAAAAACTTGAGGCTGTAATTTTATTTTGCATTTTACTGCATTGAAAAATGTTGGAAGTCAATGCTTTGTTTTTCTTATTCATTTTCCTCTTCATCGCACAGTTTTCCCCCTTCCTTGTTTCATTTGTATTTTATATAATGATAATCTTAATAAAAGGTACTTATATTACATATGATATAAATATACTTTTATTAAAAGTACCATTTTCCTTTTTAATATAAAGATAGATTAAAAATAATATAAATACTATATTACAATACTTATATTTAATATATATTTATATTAAAAAGAGAAAACGAATAATCCCACAAATGTGGTTCTGAGGGAAGATATTGGAACCAGCCCATTATACTGGAATTTACCCCTTCCTACAGCAGATGATAACTCATTTTCCACTTATCTTTCATTTCAGTCTTCACTATATAAAATTAACAGTGCTCTTCTTGGGGCGATGGGCGAATAAATATATCTAATAATTCACATGTTGTTTGTTGCAATTTGGAACAGTTTTCATTTCACCGCAAACATTTCCCCTTGGTTTAATAAAAACAAGAGATAATGCAACTTACCTCACTATTTAAGAAGCAGTAAAACACAGACACGAAAAAACCCTAGGAAAGAAGGAAAAATATTAAGTAGATTTCCCCACCTCAAGATAAAAAAAAAAGAGAGAAAACATTTATATGAACGGAGCACTTGTGTGCAGTTTAGATGCAAGCTTTTACATCTTAAGATGTAGCCCCATAGTAAGTATAATAGTTATGTCTCCCAACCGGGCAGTTTCAGAGAAGTTTAAAATTCTCACAAGCTTGTTTACATTTAAATCTACTGATGGTTTACAGCGGTGTTTCTCAAATTTGGCACACTGAGGATACGCCAACTTCAATTCCCGGAATTCCCCAGGCCAGCTGTGAAGTCCACACATTTTTAACTTTTTAAGATTGAAAAACACCGATCTATAGATATGAGGAAGCTCAGTGTGTGAATTTGCCTGCCTTCTTTTTAATTACAATTTTACTCTCTATTATCCATGCAGGATTTTAGATGCAAGAAACTAGTCCAAGTGATACATTTCAAATATTGATGATAGGGACAGAAATTATAAACTAGATCTTTATATACAGAGGTCCAGTTTTTGGAATGAATGCTGAACAAAATTTTGGAGATCCACTCCTTCAAGAGTTGGAAGGGACCTTGGAGGTCTTCTAGTTCAAGCAGGAGATCCTATATCATTTTAGACAAAGTGGATGTCTGATCTCTTCATGAAAACCTCCAGTGATGGAGGATTCATAACTTCTGGAGACGAGTCATTTGATTGATTAATGATTCTCATTGTTAGGCAATTTCTGCTTAATTCTATGTTGGATTCTTCTTGATTAGCTCCCATCCATTGCTTCTTGTCTTGCCTCCAGGTGTTTTGGGAAATAGGTTGACCCAATGGTGAAGTTCAATTTTTTTATTACCGGATCTATAGGTGTGGCTTGGTGGGCATGGCATGGGAAGGATACTGCAAAATCTCCATTCCCACCCCACTCTGGGGTCAGCCATAGTTCTCCAAACTACTGAAAATTTCCGCTACCGGTTCTCCGAACGACTCAAAATTTCCACTACCGGTTCTCCAAACTACTCAAAATTTCCACTACCGGTTCTCCAAACTACTCAAAATTTCCACTATTGGTTCCCCAAACTACTCAAAATTTCCACTACCGGTTCTCCAAAGTACTCAAAATTTCCACTACCGGTTCTCCAAACTACTCAAAATTTCCACTACAGTTCTCCAAACTACTCAAAATTTCCACTACCAATTCTCGGAACTCAAAATTTCCACTACCTGTTCTCCAAACTACTCAAAATTTCTGCTACCAGTTTTCCAAACTACTCAAAATTTCCACTACAGGTTCTCCAAACTACTCAAAATTTCCACTACCAATTCTCTGAACTCAAAATTTCCACTACCTGTTCTCCAAACGACTCAAAATTTCTGCTACCAGTTCTCCAAACTACTCAAAATTTCCACTATCAATTCTCCAAACTACTCAAAATTTCCACTATCGGTTCTCCAAACTACTCAAAATTTCTGCTACCAGTTCTCCAGAAATTATCAGAACCTGCTAGATTTCACCCCCAGTTTGACCCCCACCTCTTTATGGTAGCCCCCCAGATACTGGAAATGCTGTTATCATGCTACCCTTGGTCCTTCTTTTCATTAAACTAGACCTACCCAATTCCTGCAACCATTCTTCATACGTTTTAGCCTCTGGTCCCCTAAACATTTTCGTTGCTCTTCTCTGCACTCTTTCTAGAGTCTCAATGTCTTTTCCATATCACGGTGACCAAAACTGGATGCAATATTCCAGCTGTGGTCTTACCGGGGCTTTATAAAGGGGAAATTAATGATGCAATCTTGATACTCACTCCCTGATTTTGCACACCTACCTGAAAAGATTGCAAGAAGGAATTGAAGTAGATGAAAAAGATCTGGGATATGTCATCTTCTCCTGGATTGACAAAAAACAGCATGTAGGTAATTCCCAGAAGCGGCAGGAGGACCAATGTTGCTTTCACCGCCTTCCTGTTAAGGAGAAGTCAGAGATCAAGTCTTGCTCCAGGATGACCGTCATTGACAAAAATCCAGACATAAAATTCTTCCAACCCCCATCCCTTGCTTCTTGTCCTACATTCGGGTACTTTGAAGAGCCCTGGTGGCAGTGGTTAGAATGCAGTATTGCAGGCTAACTCTGCCAACTGCCAGCAGTTCGATCCCCACCAGCCTCAAGGTTGACTCGGCCTTCCATCCTTCCGAGGTGGGTAAAATGAGATTGTTGGGGGCAGTAGGCTGACTCTGCAAACCGCTTAGAGAGGGCTGCCAAGCATTACGCACTGGTATATAAGTCTACGTGCTTTTTCTATTTGGAGAAAAGTATGACTCCTTTGTCTTTGTAGGATCCCCTCAAATACTGGAACACTGCTCCCATGTCTCCTTGAGTCTTTCTTTTTATTAAACTACTAGACCAGTGGTGGGTTCCGGATCCCGGTGCAACCGGTACGGTGCAACAGGGGCAGGAATCCCCCACATGCACGCGCGCAGGACATGCGGCTGTATGTGCATGCGTCCTTACCTCCTGCGACGCCTCCGTGATGCTCCAGCTGCTTGGTGGAGCATCGCCCGGGTGCTGTATGCTCCGTGCACGTACGCGGAAGCGCAGAAGAGCTCAAATACAGGTAAGGAGGTTGGGCGGGCGAGTGGGTCCTCCAGAGCACTGTACCAGAATGGTACCTGGTGCTCCCAGCAGGCACTGGTACGCCCATATTGGGGCATACCGCCTGCAACCCACCACTGTACTAGACATACCCAATTCCTGTAACTGTTCATCATATGTTTCAGCCTCCAAGTCCCCTAATCATCTTTGTTGTTCTTCTCCGCACTGTTTCTAGAGTTTCCACATCTTTTTTATATTATATATTATATTATATAAATTTGTGGCAACCAAAACATACCATACATGTATTCCTCGATTTACAACCATTCATTTAGTGTTTGAAGTTACAACAACACTGAAAACATGACCTATATGACTATTTTTCAGACTTCTGACCGATGCAATGTCCACATGGCCTCACAGTCAAAATCTGAATGCCTGGAATCATGTTATCACCATTAGCAAGCGGAGTCAACCCGACAAACCAGATTTGCTTAACAATTCTGTGATTAACTTAACAACCGAGATGATTGGCTTAATGACTGCGACAACAAAAAGTTTCTGAAATTGTTCTGACCCAGCTCCCAAATACTGCTATCCTGTCTCCCCTGGTCCTTCTTTTAATTAAACTCGACATCCCCAGTTCCTGCAACCGTTCTTCATATGTTTTAGCCTCCAGTCCCCTAATCCTCTTTGTTGCTCTTCTCTGAACTCTTTCTGGATTCTCCACATCTTTTTTATATTACGGTGACCAACACTGGATGCAGTATATCGCTCCCTTTCCCCCTGAAATGGCCCCAACACCCCAGAAGTCTCTCTTTCTCTCTCCCCACACTTGCAAAGGAAGTCCTAGAAGGTGTGTTCACTTTCTTCCAACAGAACACACAGACACCAGTGGTGGGTTCCAGATTGACCGGTACGCTGCCACAAGGCCGGGTACCCACCTGGGGCATGTGTGCTGTGCATGCATGCACAATCACCGCTCTGCAACACTCAAGCTGCTAGCGGAGGTCACACAGGTGCCGTATACTGTTCGCGCATGTGCAAATGGCCTAGTTGGCTTAAAAACAGGTAAGGTACGTGGGCGGGCGGGCGGGCCCACCAAAACACCGTTGCAGTACGGTGGGCACTGCTTCCAGCTGCCCCTGGAGGCCCATACCGGGGCGTACTGGCTGGAACCCACCAGATTCCAAGAATTCTGATAATTTCCAGACAGGATTCAGAAGTGCAAGCAATCAGTGGCTGATTGGCAGGGAGATGAAGAGTTGTCTGCCATACCTATTTATCTCTGTCCCCTGCGTTTTATCCCCAGAGCTAGGGTGGGGCTGTGCTAGCAGTGGTGGCGCTGCCATCCCAGTTACCGGCCCATAGATTTCCACTGCTCTCCTCTCCTCTGTGTTCTGCATATCCATGTGTCATGCACCAGACCCACCTGTTCCTCCTCTTCCTCGTCAGCCACCTCCAAACCTGGGGGCTGTTGACTCTCCATCTGAGGGCTGATGGACAGCCCAGCCTCTGCCTCTGTCTGTCTCTCTCTGCCAGCTCCATTCCCTCTTCCCCCTCAGAGCTCTCAGGTTTCCTCGATGTTGGCCCTGGCTCCCAGGCCCCTCCTTATCCGATTCGGCTGCCAGAGGTGCCGGCAGCCAACAGGTCACAACAGAAATTTGGCACAACTCACTTAAACCACCACCTGCCTTAGCAACATAATTTCTGATCTCAAAAGCCGAGGTCCACTTTTAATAGTGTACTTACCTGTATTGTATGGTTTCCGAGGTGGTTGAAGCTCTCAGTTTCGTCATTAGAATCCTAACTATGTTAAACAGGAACACAAAATTTATCTGTGAAAAGGGAAAAAAGAGAGAAAACCAAATCAATAAATTTCAGTAGGGAATAACCCCTTCATGGTATTGGACCTGGGTACTTGAGAGACCTGGTGCACCAATTGCGTCCCTACCTGAATCGGGAGGCACTCGCAACAGTCACTCATGCCCTTGTGACCTCAAGACTGGACTACTGCAATGCGCTCTACATGGGGCAGCCCTTGAAGAGCATTCGGAGACTTCAGCTGATCCAGAATGCAGCCACGCGAGCGATTGTGGATGCACCTCGGTACACCCACGTTATACCTATCCTCCGCGAGCTGCACTGGTTACCGATTGGTCTCCAGATACGTTTCAAGGTGCTAGTTGTCACTTATAAAGCCCTTCATGGTATTGGACCTGGGTACTTGAGAGACCGCCTGCTGCCAATTACCTCCCAAAGACCTCCCAAAGATCACACAGATTAGGCCTCCTCCGGGTTCCGT